CCCCCCACCTCAGCAGCTGCGTCAAAAACCAATCGCAACTTGCCCGGCTTATTAGGGTTGGCAACGGCGAAGTGTGGCAAGTACCAGGTTGTCGACGACGACAAGGCAGCATCTGCTGGTGACAGCTTACGCGCATAACCCTTAGCTATGTAGGACTCTATGATGCGTTTATATTCATCAGCCAACACACCATCGCGACTCATTTTCTTTTCGATACCTCTAAGCCTCCGCAGCGCCATGGGATAGCTATCAGGAAGCTCAACCTTGTCATGCTTCCACAAAAGACCCGTCTGAAATCTCCCATTGACGCGGAATGAAGTCTTCTCGAGAATTCTCTTCGCACGAGCATCAGCCTCACTTTCGATGGGGGGTGATGGCCTTATCCCAAAGCTTTCGGTGTCAAAGTAATCGGCCATTAAGCTATGCAATGACTGATCACTCTGACTGTTCACATGCAAGCATGTCGGCAACGACCGTTGTTTGTTTGTAGTTGGGCCATACACCACCCAACCTAACTCAGTGCTCGCTGCAAACGGGCCATTCATATTCATTTTCAAAGTGGACGAAGATAGACCAAGATGGCAATGATCCAGCCCGATCAACAACTTAGGGCGGACCTGTGAGTACGTTTGTATTGGTAACTTACTTACGTGAGTGTCATCACAGCTCAACTCCGCTTTACTTAGGCTTTGCGATGGAAGCTGCAAATTCGATACTCCATAAACTCTTCGCAATTTATATCGCTTCTGCATGCCAGCGCCGCTGACCAACAAGTCTACTACCACGGCTGGTTCCTGCGCCGCGCGCCCTCCGAACCATTGCAGATTCAGTCGCTGTTCACTGCCATGCACACCCAATTCCTGCAAAAGAGTATTGTCGATCATTGTGATCGACGAACCTTCGTCCATTAGGGCGTATGTTTCAACGCGCTTATGTTTGTTGTACAACACGACTGGCAAAATTCTAAATAATAGCTTGCTGTCAGCGGAACCGCGACTGCAACTGAGAACTGCGGCATCGGCATTACTTGGTTGTTGTAAATACGATGAACCTTGAGTATGCGAGCGTTCGGCTACTGGCATGCTCATATTACGATGGTGAATCTGTGCGGCCACATTGTTGACCCTACATCCGCTTTCGTGAAGTAATTTATGGTGCATTCTTTTGCACCCTTCTGTGGCACAAGGCTTTTGCCGCTGGCAATTACGAGTTCCAAGTCCGGCGTTAAGGCATGAGAAACACAGGCGGCGTTTCTTTACTTCGGTCCACCTGTTCGACACAGTGAGATCGATGAACGTTCTGCACTCGGCTGGCTTGTGTGGACCCTGGCATATTGGGCATCTCACATGACGGTGCAGCTCGGCCGTGTGCAGTACGACACGGCGTCTGGGGTCTCGCACTGACTCGACATCATACACTGCAGAGATGACATTCGCGAGTTTTGTGAGCCACTCGCTAAACTGTCTAATCGTAGCATACGGCTGTGTGGATGCTGCGTAAGTTGCCCACTCAACTCGTTTGCTCATCGGTAGCTTCATAACGACTTCATCGAGCAACGTGGGGTTGCCGAGATGTTGTTCTCCTCCGATGGCTGATTGTAGAAAGATGAACATGTTGTTCACCTTAGTAGCAAATGGCACTAGTTTCGCCATTCCACTTTCCGATATGGGCGCAATCTCCCTTACTTGCGCTAACTGAGAACGAATCAGCTGTTCAGGACGGCCAAACCTGAATTTCAGCTGCTCAATGACATTATTGACGTTGCTGGGATGTATAAGCAGGGACTTCACAGTCTCCCGAGCTTCGCCCTTCAGGCACCTATGAAGCCGCTGATTATTTTCAAAATCGCTGTATGCGTAGACTGCAGTGGATTCTGTGAACGCAGTGTAGAATATCGGCCAGTCTTCTGCTTTCCCACAGAAATCCGGCAAGGCCTGCATTTGCCTAGGCAGGTAAGACGACTGTGTTGCTACAGGACCCACGTTGGCGTGAGCGGACGCATTGCAGTTCGCAGAAATGGCATCACTGTTAGGTGTGGCTGAATACGCATATATATTGTGTGGCAATGGCATGCCATTAGATGTGACGTACTGAACGTTTTGAGCAGGCGCCGATGCTACGAAATGCAACGGCGATTGGCGGCTATCTGCAAATGACGTTACTGGAAGCGGATTGCCGATAGACACCGTCGGTAATTGTAGTTCCGTCGACGGCGCAACTTGACAATGCGTTGTGGGAAATTGGGGATTTGAAGTCCCGGCCGTGTGGGCATTATCCGCCTCAGTTTGGGATTCGTGATCCCTCAGCTTTGCTTCAGTTGCTTTCAGGGTATTTTCTAACATGGTGATACGCTTTTGCATAGCCTGCATCATGACCTCTTGACGAGCAGAGGATGTTGGTGGCGCAGGCGTTGGCGAGTTACGGCTAATTGCTCCGGCGGTAGTGGAGGCGGCTTTTGAGGCGCTGGCTGCGGTGGTGGCGGATTGCGTGGCACTGGCTGTGCTTGTGGCGGTGATTTTCGTTCCGGCACTTTTCGACGTGGCCGGATTCGAACCTGAATCTTTACCTTCCATTTCGTTATTTAATCGAGGGCTTCGACGAGGTGACTTGCCCATGTAACCTTCAGCGATGTAATATTGCTGCAACTAAGCAGCGAATTGGCAATGGCAAATAACTTGCAAATAAAATTTGCAGTTCCAAATATATGGCAGATTTGGACTGCGAAATAAAGATGTCGTCGATTCCGCGAGCGAATTCAACGCGAATCCAAAATAAAACGCTTAATTCGACTTCAGTTCAGATTCGGTTTATTTCTAAAGGTTAGGAAGTTATTTTCAGCATATGCAAATGAACAAAAATAGGCAATACTTACCGCAGTGTGTCCTTCGCTTTTCTCCTTTGATCGACGACTGAACTAATGTTCTTAAATTTTTAGCGAATGTACCAAATTTGGCAAACTATGTACATACATATGTATATACAAAGGAGAAATAGCGGTTGGCACATTGCGGTTAGCGAACAAAGGCAACAAGCATTTACATTTTCACTAAACAGATGTACATATGTATATGCGCAACATAGAATATATTCCGTTTAACGGAGAAACGAAAACAATGATAAATACTGCAAAACGGTTTGAAGTGCATAAATAAGAGTTAGGACATTTGCGTACTCACAAATGTAAGTACATACGAAGATGTGGCCAAAGAGAACGTAAATACGCAGATCATACCGTATGTAGGGGGTACTTTGACAACACTTAAACATGAAATAGATACATCGAACATGCTAAAAGCCAAACGGGCCGCAACACATAGTAATGCCAGTATAATTCACGTAGCGCCATGTTAGCTCACCAATTCAGCGGAATTCCAAAAGGTTTTCATGGTAAAAGTTATTCAGTAGCGTATAATGGCGCAATAGAAGACAGGGAATGTGATGCTGAGAGTTTTGCGGCGTTGTAATCAGATAATAATACATCGTCATACCTGAGGGTGTGCATGGAATAATTAACGAAAATTTGCTCCTTACCAATTTTTTTGAGTACGCAGTTTTGCAACCCATTAAATTCTAGTAAAAAACGCAAGTTCAAAGTTAGTTCAAAATCGTATTGATTTTTGAGAAAAATCTGATTAAAAAGTTGAGAATTTGAAGAATTTTCGTTAGTTTTGCACAAAGTTTAGGAATTTTTTTATGTTCTTTGTTATAAATAGAATGAACCATATTGGCGGAAAAATATTAGAAAAAAAATGTTGCATATATTGTGAAAAATTTGCTGTGCCAATACTTTTTTTGCCGCAAGTGTAATGGCCTTATTCATAAAAAATAAAGTAGGTTTAAAGAGCTTTATAAAATGACGTTTTCATACATTTTTCATTTTATAAACCTTTTTTAAAGCTACTTTATTTTTTATGAATAAGGCCATAAGTATTTTAACATAAAATATTTCTTTAAATAAATAGTCTTTATAAATACGAGTACTTGATTGGGTAGCAATCCTATGGCATTTCCTCATTGAAAGTTTAGTTTGGGTGCGATAAAAAAGCGCGGAGGTCTGGCCTTAGGAGTTTGGAACAATCTCAGAGTACTTGGGTTTTTCCCCATATAAAACAAAAATCTGATTCTCACCCACATATATAAATACTTTTCCACGTAAAAACGGTTCTTAACATTAAAATTTGCTACTATGTATCTCCTAATTGCAGTTGGTTCACGACTCCATAGTCGGTTGTCTTAAAATGGTTCCTTTTCGTTATTGGGCCACAACGGATCGTAAAAGAGCGATTTTCCTAGAACGAAGAAGATAAGGTAGGGCACCGAAAGTACGTACAACAACAGCAAGTTCAAGCATCTATCAGCTATAGCAACGTGAATGCAGACACTTTTATGGAGCCCGGTTGAGAAGAGGATAAACCCTCGATAAACAAAGCGTATTGCCGGGGCGCAGGTTAAAAAGAAAGTTTTTTTACGGTTTGTATTCGAGAATTTTAATTGTAGGCAACCAATTGCCTTGAATAGCTCAGCATAGCCGCGATCCGAAAAGCCAACCTCTTCCTATTGTAACCGAATCTCATGCGAACACAGCAAACTCGGGCCACAGATGAATGCACACCACATCTCTACGATGTGCCATCGAAAAAGATTCCTGTGTAGCCACGGCGGGTTTGTTAGTCTCAGCGGGTTAGCTACATATGTCGCGAAATTCAACTAGGCAACCCTCTGAAGATGGGAGGAATGGACTAACCAAGTCGCCCTTCTGCCTAAACCAGGCCAATCAAACGCATTAGACGTACATGGTACCATTGGGTTGAGCAGTTCAGGTGCGAATAAGAAAACTCAAGGAACATAGGCACGGCAAACAGGAGTGCAAGCATCAATTGCAAAACGGGCAGAAAATGCATTCTGCTCTCGCAGTGAGACTCTTTCATCTATGCAGAGATTAGCCAAAGCGCGATAGGCACAGACAAGCTTCCAGTGAAATTGGACATATTCACCCCATCCTACATCGGGATTCAGGGGTAAAGGGAGGAAACCCAACTCAACAGCATTTCAACATGGAGGTAGTGTGCAACTGCTCGATTGATCATGTTATTAGCGGTGCTTTCAGTGAACTATTGCAGATGCGCTGGAATTATTTAATAAAACGGTTTACGCTCTTAAAGTGTAGTCGCATCCACTACTGTTCTGCGGAGTACCTTTGTGGACCGGGATAGCAAGAAAGCCGCGTGACTGAACGAGGTTGCTCCTAAGCGCGAGGGATAAAAGAGACTTGTACTAGGGCCAAAACTTTGCGCTGCTAAAATTGCAGAGTAAGGAACTTCACACTACAGTATCCCACCTAATTTAGGGCAGCATTGAGGATATAGGGCAAACTCTCAACGATGGTACCCTTTAAAACTCGTTAAACGTTATTAAGATGGATGCAGCTTCCGGAAATTAGGTCGGTTTGTGTAATACAATAAATGTTCGAAAAATGCCTCTCTGTTTAAGATCGGCCTTAAAATCGATCTTTCCAGGAACTCTTTATCGTTTTTGAGGCCTTATACTTTTCTCACCTCGTCTTGGTGAAGTGGGGGACCAGTATCTATCAAATAAAATAGGAGGTGTGAGGTGCATTGACCACAGGGGCTTTCCACCATTCTTTTAGCCTTTTTAAAACCACGAACTCGTGCAAACCCACTTGGCGGATCTGAGGAATTTAAGTGTATCTTACAGAGAGAAGCGGCTGCACTTTAAGATAGTCCTCTCGAATAGTTGGCCGAGTGGCTTTAGGTTCACTCCTGCAAAAGGCTTGCACTCACAGGGAAAGTATTTAACTGGCTGCTTCGACCTCGGGTCCCTGGAGCTGGGGCGGAACCTGTTGAAAGGTCTACCTTTTCGGCATGCACTCCCAGGGGCCAGTGATCTGTAAGACATCCACGAGTTTTTACGTAGGCTTATTCCCTGTGCGTTCCTAACAGAGCGCTGATCCCATCAAGTAGATATTTAAGTTCTGTCTGGTGATCATATAAGGTGATGTACATCTCCACCTTTGCTTTGCTTTTCTATGGAAAATTTTGATAAATCCGCATTTAATTTCCCTGAGCATGGCACTCATAACCACCTCGTGAGACACATTTACTGTAGAGCCGCACCCCGCTCGTACATCCGCGGTCTCATTCGAATGTTGTGGGACCCATATATATAGTCCTCCGCAAGTTGACACCTTACCGAGCAATAGGAGAGCGCCTGAATTGCCGACTGACTATCTGAGAAAGTGTTTAGCTGTGCTTTGTTTGCGTTGTAATAGCCTACAAATTCTCCAAAGAGTTTTTTGTGGAATGATGCTGGAGTGACAATCCTTGGTCAGATATGTATCCCGGTCGTTCCGGTTACGTAGACCCGATTGTCGTCGGAGCGTTCAGCTTCGCCCTCGCGGTGTTTTATTTGCTTTGTCGTCTGGAAGAAACTCCGACAGGCCAAAGGATATTTTTAAATTGAGTTGCTCAATGAAATTTTCACACCTATCCCTCACTCCAGCTTTGATCCAGGCACCGGACTCTTTTTCATATCTGGATCGTCGCTCCGTCTCATCGTGCTCCAGACCTTTGACGTGATATAGTCGGTAGGCTAAGCTGTTACTTACATACATTGTACATATATCGGATGGGAGTTTATATAAAATTGTTCTCTGCCGAAATGACCTCATTGCAGTACTGTAAGCCCGCAATCTTATTGTGATGTTTGTAGCCGATTCTTTGACAAAAGAATCTATGGGAAATAAATCGAGTGGAACGTTTGGAGTCTCCGATGGGCAAGATCTTGTTGCCCCTATAGCCCAAACAGGAGGCGATCTCTTGTGATTTCAGCTAGGCATTTAACGAGGTATTCGTTAGTTAGAGTTAGTCACCAGCCTTCAATCAAATCAAATGAGACTTTGTGTCTAAAAGAACCCACTAATTTATTACAATTCAACTCGATAGATATTAAAATGTATTTGTAAATAAAAAATATGTTATTAAACTCTCCGTAAGCCAAATCTGAACGCAGTCCCAATATTATTTTCTCTATAAAAATACCTCTTAACTATCAAAAATAGAACACAAATATCACAAATTCCACTCGATGGTTTCCAATGTACGAGAGTACTCGCCCTTCTCGACCACACTGCATGCGCTCAATGACAACAGATGCGCGTCCGACTGTCACGTGCGTTCACATTTAGATGCACAAAGTTCCGATTGATGCCGCACAACTCGTGCGAACTACGCGCACTCAGCGCCACATGCGATGATTTCGTTTGTTGTAGCGATGTACGCGACGTCTTGTTGGCGCTGATGCACGAGGGTGGCACGGGCAGTGAGCGTATTGAGGTGGCACTATGCGCCGATTCAGGCATTTTGCATTGGTATTGCGACCAAATATTTGCCATGTAATTTCTGGAGTTCTTCAAAAGCCAATCGGAGTTGTAGCGTATGTTGAGACGTCGTACCGGCCGAATGGATTCGTAGATGGAACGCTCGAGATTGTGGCAATTTTGGAGTGCAGCTTCAAGTACTTTTGTTTCGTTCATTATTTTGGCTGTCTGGTTTTTGTGTGTATATTTCAATTTTTGTTTGGAATTTTTGTTATTAGTTTTTCTTAGTTGTTGTTGCTATTTATTGTTTTGTACAGCTGCGTTTGATAAATGTTACTGAAATAAATAGGTGCCTGAAATGGTTTCATACCCCGTGGCGTTGGTTTGGTTGGTTTTTGTTAATTTTTGTTTTTTTGGTTAACGATTTTGGGTACGGTTTAGTACGTTGCCGATCTATTTCGAGGTATTGCGTCCAAAGGGGTGACCCGATCCAAAAAAAAATTTGCACACACATGTAGCCAAGGGTAAACATTATTTTAACACCATTTTTTATAATTTTTGGTCACTAATTTATTTACAGATTGGGTTAGAAATATGGCCTTTTTTTGTAAAATTCGGAAATTAGCGTAAATTTATTACTCCTATTCTCCTTAAAGCAGCTACTTCAGTAATAAATTTTTATATTCTCCTTCCCTTTACACTTTACTCGATGAGTTATAAGTTTCTCTATAACTTTAATATTAAACAATTAGTCACAATTTATTAAATAAAAACACCTTCTAAATCATGCGTCTGACTTTGGTTGCTAATGCAAATTAAATGGCGTAGTT